GTGGGGTGGCTGCTGTAGAAGAGTAGTGAATGAAACCAAAAAAGCCACCTCTTTTTTATATATAGAAAAAATAGCTTTCTCTTTGAAATAGTCTGTTTCTGATGAACTGTTATGCTATACATCCTGAATAGTATATTTCTGCTTGTAGATATCCCATTTCTTACTCTGCCTTGTCGTCTCCTTAAAGAGCAATAAAACAGAAAGGAAGATAAAGAGAGACAAATGTTTGCAATGGAAAAAAAACCCAATAAATTGCTGAGCATGATCCCCCCCCTCCATTTCCCTCCATGCCTCTCAATGAAATTCTAATGTAAAATAACACCAACCTTGTACCAGAGTTCACTTGTTCCAGTGAGACATTCAGAAGATGGAAAGTCCAGGATATTCAGTGCTGACAACAGCAGCATATGATGAAGGAAACAGATAAGTTGCACCAATCACATAGAAGCTCTCCTAGTAATCATTTCCAAGGTTGACAATAAACTTCAATCCCAATCCCAGCTCTTTACTCCTTCAGCTACCACTTCAAATAACAAATATTGAAAGAATGAAAGAAGCATAGACCCTGAGTGATGCCTCCGTTTACTCTCAGTTGAGAAAGTTCAAGCCTCTTGAAAGAGAAAAGGAACTTCAAAGACATATGTATTTTCTAACCTGTCAGGTCTATAAGCAGAACGGTATGTTGCACAATCCTGCCAAGCCTGATCTTGTGCGTTCCAGAAATGAAATAATCTGCAAAACCTCAAAGATTAACATTTTATAACAGACCCAGAGGTCAAGGATAATTGGTGTCAACATCTACGTAAGAGAAACAGTTCTGATGTCAGCAAGTATTTTAACTGTATGACCATTTCATGTTTGATGTTCAAGAGTGGTTATATTTCAGTTCTAGGAATGTGATACGTGACCCCATAAACACTGATAGCTGGTTCACACCTGCATGTTCAGCACTAGGGCACAAACTGTTGGACTTGCATGTGTGAATGAGAGACCATAGATTACTTACTGGCATTGTTTAAAGATTGAATTGTCCTAAATGGGAATCAAGGGTCATTAAACTACTTGGGCTGAGAGCCAAACCAGACAAGAGGTTACATTACTTGTCCGTGATAGGGATGGGCACAAACCAGCAGATGAACTAAGGTTTATCACAAATTTTGGGTGGTTCATGAAGCAACTGCCATGAACTTTCACAAATTTTGATGCAGTTCATGGTGGTTCATGAACAGCAGAAAGCAAGGGTTTAAACCACTGCTTCCAGCTCTTCACAAAAAGCAGCTGAGCAGTGGGGAGCTCCCCACCCCTCAGCTGTTTGGTTTAAATGGCTCCCAGCCATTTAAACCAGTGCTTTCTGCTCCCAGCTGCAGGGAGTGGAAAGCAGGAGTTTAAAGGGGTCCAAACCTGGGGCTGTCTGAGGCTAACTGTCCAAGAAAACCTCTTTAAACAGCTGACCCATGGAAGGCTACCGCCATGGGAGCAGTTTGCTCCCTGTGACTCAGCTATTTAAAGGGGCTTTCTTGGGCAGCACTGGCTACGAATCATGAACTGACCCACATTTTGTGGGTCATGTCCATCTCTAGTCTGTGATCAGATTTTTCCAGCATTTTTTAAAACTTCCATGTGGGGCAGTGATTCAAATGGGCTACAACCCATGCATGTGGGGGTGTGGGGGATGTCACAACACCTGATCCAGGCCTTTCTCTTCTTATCTTATTTTATATTCTGAATGGGCTCAGTGGGGTTAAGATAAACAGTGCAGTCAAGTTGCAAAATGGAAAATACCAGGAACAGGCAATGTGATGTGAATGAATGTGCCCTACCTGAAAAAGTGTGTGTGAGAGAAAATGAAGACTGTGTTAATACTCCCGGTGGCTTCAAATGTGTCTGCACAGAGGGCTTTGAAGGCAAGGATGGTGCCTGTGCTCCAGTTATAAAAACAGGTTATTCTGGAGTCTGAATCTTCTAGAGAACTGCCTGAAGAACTTTCACTGCTTCTCGATGTATGTTCAATGTTTTCTTCTGTTACGCTGTTGTCCTCTACTCTTCCATCCTTCTCTGTTGTTCGGTGCTGTTACAAAAATGCCTTTGCTTTTATAACAGAGTCAATCTTTTGCTTCTTTTCTTTGTAGTTGAATATAAGTCCTTCTGGAGTTATCCATCTGTAGGGGGTGGAGTTTTTACACTAAGACAGTGTTCAGTTGACAGTTGTCGGAAGATTCACCATCTTTTAATATAAGTTGTATGATTTTATATTGATTGACAGTTTTAATGGAATTTTATATGTTGTTTATATGTTGTTAGCCGCCCTGAGCCTGCCGAATGGCGGGGAGGGCGGGATATAAATGTAAATATAAATAAATAAATACAACTTTGCTAATTACCCCACCACCCAGACCCTCCTGTTATGTTACTACACTTGGCCCACTGTTAACTTGAGGTGTGTGAGGTAAAGTAGATTTCTTTTCTTAGTGTGTCTTATTTTATTCTCACACAAGATTCCTTAACCCTCTACCAGAGAGCACATCAACCCACTCTTTTCTTTAGTATTGTAGTAGTGGATTATATAGGACTAGGAATAAGGTCCATTGTGGAAATAGATCCAACGAGCTCTAGAAAGAGGCTCTAGGTGGGTGCCCTGGCTTTAGGCACTCAGCATCAATTTGCTGTGGTGACCTCAGCAGGGTATAATGACACAGAGTTCACTGTTTTCTACAGAGGAATTGATCTCTCCCATCTGAAGAGCAGTTGTAATTCTGAGTGATCACCAGCCCTCACCTGGCAACAATGGTTCCTCAGGAGGAAATGACTGGTTTGGAGGATGGAGTCTATGTCTGAGGTCCCTCCTCAAACTTCACCCTCTCCAGGCTCCACCCCTCAAATCTTCAGGAATTCCCCAACCTGGAGGTGGCAACCCTATCTCCTTCCAAGCCAACCATCAACCTACCATTATCTGCCCCTCTGACTTCAGGTTTCCATTTCCTCCCCCCTCCCTGCAGCCACTACCTAGGAAAAGTACAGTCTTTCTCCATAGTGGGGACCAAAGCAACTCACATCATTCTCCTCTCCCCTTTTGATCTGCACAACAACCCCATGAGGTAGGTTAGTCTGAAAGTCTGTGACTGGTCCAAAATCACTCACTCAGCTTCCACAGCAAGAACCTAGGTCTCACCCTTTAGAAAATAACTGCTTTACAGGGTAGACTCTATGGCATTCTATTCAGCTGAGGCCTTTCTCATCCCCAAACTTTGGCTTCTGTAGATTCCACCACAAAATCTCCAGAAATTTCCCAACCTGTAGTTGGCAACCCTAGTCAGGACTGGCCCCAATGAGTTCTCCACAAAGGCCAAAGTAGGCCTGGAAAGGGCCTCCTGCCTTTGCCTTTTTACTGACAGAACCAAGCTTGGTTGTCTAGCAACAGCCACTGAGAAGAAAGTGAGCCAAACAGCAGTTTTGGCAGTTTATTCAGACAGGGAATGGCAGTGGGTGGGGGAGAGGAGTGGACCCAGCACCCAGCCAATGGCACTTCATGGTTATATGGTTTGTTTTCATTTTTTTATTTTCATTAATTAAAACTGACCCTGGCTGTATTTCATGGTGGTGTTAACCCTAAATGAGGGGCAGATGAAGTGAGGGTGACTTTTTTCCCCATTCCAAGACTAATAATGATATGATGGGGTCAGTTTCACACTCTTTTCTGAACTGGGGCCATCCATAGCTGTAGTTTCACTTAACCCCCCCCCCCATAAATCATGTTTGTTTACTTACTCTGTAAGTCTTAATTCTAGTGCATTTATTTATTTATTATTTATCTTTGGATTTATATCCTGCCCTACCCCGAAGGAATGATAGATTGCCCATTTCAAAACTACAGCACACAAACCAGAAGATTTTAAATTTATGGTATTGTTTCATTATAGATCACAATCCTACAATCAAGTAGACATATCCCGGGTTTTACTACAGAAAGAAGCTGAACTTATTTTCAGACTACATACATTGATTCCATCAGGATTAAATCAGGAACTTGATTTGAGTTCCTTTCTGTAAATGGTCTGGGTACCTTTAAGACAAAAATGCCATCTTAAAACATCACACCTGTTGTATCCTACAAATTTTCCATTCAGACACTATGCCACACTGAGGGAAGCTGAGCCAAATATCACATTGTAGACTCTGTCACATGAGGGCATGATACAGGAGCTCCCCAGTCACCAGGTTGGTAAATTTTGAAATAGTTATTTTTCTTGAAATTATTCTTGTATATGTGTCACTGATGGACTGTAGAATATTCATTGTGCTTGTCTGCTTTCCTTTAGATTAAACGTGATAACGTACAAAAAACTGTATAAGAAATTTACATTGTGAAATAATGGTGAGTTTATAAATTGTAAATCCTCCTTTGTATATTAGAGTTAATTTTATGTTTTTTGTTGGATTATTAAGCATGTTACACTTCATTGCAGCTTGCAGCACTTTATTCTATTGAAGATAAGAACACAGACAGCAAACCTGAAGAAGGATTCGTAAATGGACTTATACTAGATATCCGTTGTTTGTCTGAGACTATACTGTAGAATTTCATATGTACTGCCAAGCCTAAGATCGCATTTAATATGTTATAGTTGTAATTTTGCTGAAATTGAATTCTAAAAGCATTATATACAAACATCTGCTTATATTGTATATTCATACATGGTGATTTATTGTTTTGTTGATTACATTACACCTTGTTTGTTGTAATCTACCCCGAAGG